GGTGTAGGAGATGGTTGGAAAAAAGTTAGGGGTGGCCAAAGGAAAACGTGGTACCAATCCCTGAAGTCAATAACTTCTGATCTAGGCCATGCACGACTATCGTAACCAATGGTTGGAGACTGTGTGACATGACTCTGAATCGATCACAGTGGTGTAGGTGTATACACTCTTTGTCTTCTCTTAAACCGTGAGATTGGAACTGCTTTATACCTTTATTTCTACGAACTAATTCTTTCTTCTGGTATTATATATTTGTACACAATCTTTCTTTTATATATTACTACCATTGGTGTAACTGCTTCTATGAATTTGGTGTTGATCTTGTTGTGCTAATGAGGTGTGGCAACTTGGACTGATGCATATATGTGCCTTGTCCTATGTCGTAGCTGACTGACTTATAAACCATGTTTCACGGTCATAAAGTAGATCATACTGCTGAGAACTATACATGCCATTCGGTTAGAAGACAGACATCTTCCCCTACACCTCATGTGGCACAAATCGGGCTTCCTGCATCCGTGCAGAGATTTCTTCAGAGGTCAACCAATCCGAGTTAATTAGATTCCGATGATAAGTTAAGTGTACGACGCTCCAAACTACTTCACTCTTTATCGTCAGCTCAGGTATTTGTAATGGCAAGTTGTTAAACACCATTTTGCATTTCAGGGAAGAATATCCCATCCCAAACACGCCAAGATTGCTCTTCAAGGCTGTCAAAAGACTCTTCACGTATTTCAAGTTGATAAATAAAACTTGTCAGGAGATTGACTCCTGAAAAGTTAGTTGAATATTATTTTATTCGTAGAGAGACATTGGAGACAACTCCGCAAGTTTCTCAAGATAATTATTAGTGGTTATTTGTTAGTATTTGATGGGTAAAATTTATCCTATCTAACTTATTCCTATTGCTAAATCAGTAGTGTTGAATTTTGAACACTCGTTTTTCAACCCTTATGTTGCATACCCCAACTCTTCTCTATCTACTTTTATGTGGTCATCTGAGTGGTGTTAGTAGATCCCATACAATGTATGGCTCAAATCCGATCATATGAAACCACTTGGTTACCGAGTTTCATCAGGTTGGGTCTCAATCACTGATCTTTGTACTGTAAAATAGATGAAATCTTGTCATGGAATCAGTTAGAATTAAATAATCTGACATTAGTTTACTAAAATATGCCTAGCAAGTATATTGCGTTAATAAAGAAACCACAGCCCACACACACACAAATATGGTGTGGCGCATATCTATTTGGTGCCCTCTTGTACCAATATTTATGTGTTGAAATAAAATAAATAATACATACATGTGAGTCTGTGGTTTCCGATTCAGGAGATGATATTATTGGGGATGGGATTCAAATCGTTTTTCATGTTCGGAATTTTATGAATAGCTGTTTTACGCACCATTCGTGGTGGGCGGGTTTTTACAGTTTGATACATGAAAAGTATACTGTTTGATAGATAATGGCCCATAATATGATATAATCTCAAAAGATTGTATTTATAAAGCAAGTCTGAAATAAGATCGAAGGTAAAGCACTACCAGCTATAATAGGATGTTATTTATTTATTTGAACACATAAATATTGGTGCAAGAGGGCACCAAATATATATGCGCCACACAAAACAATGAGAATTCTAAGAGAAAACAAAGAAGGCAAGGGGCGTAAAAAAAAGAACAATAACGAACAGATTAGTGTAAGGTAGCGTAGTAATAGTAATAATAATAATGTGGGAAACGGAAAGGTACAACCAGAAGAAATCTTTCAGTTAAGGAAGATACAACCACTCTTTTTATGAAGAAAGTAAAAGAAGGTTACAGCAGGATCGCCACTTGCTTCTATTCTGAGCCATATCTGATAACGTCTCTAGCCACTGTGTTGCACCATCTCTCAGACCCCAACCAGGGAGTCGTGAAGGACCAACAGAAGCCAGTCCTTTGCAGCTTTCTTTTATACCACGACACCTTGTCATACACTGACCACTTCTCCGCTTCTTCCAACCAGTCCCGGAGTCGGCAAATAATGCACGAAGTGGAATTCTCTGGGACGACATTCGTAGAACATGTCCAAGCCACCGAAGTCGGTGTTTCAAGATGGTGACACCAATTGAATTATCGTCTTTGTGTCCGAACACACGATGCCGAACCTCTGCATTACTAACATGGTGTTGCCACTGGATGTCAACAATCCTTCGGAGACAACGATGATCGAACACAGAGAGTCGTCTCACATCCTCAACTCGGAGAGACCAGGTTTCACAAGCATAGAGCAGAACTGCTCTCACCGACGCGTTGTAGATCCGGCCTTTTACAGCCAGACTAACATCACAAAGGCGCCAAAGGTGGCCTAGATTGGCATAAGCCGCTCTGGCTTTCACTACACGTGCATTGATCTCATCACTCACACCCCCACCAGCACTTATGCAGCTACCCAGATACACGAACTTCTCAACTACTTCTATCTGCTCACCATCCAGGGTGAGTACAGGATTAGAATCCTGCCAGTCTTGTAGAAGTACTTTGCACTTCGAAGATGCAAAGCACATACCATACCTACGGACACTGATTGCCAACTGATTAAGTGCGGATTGCATGCCTTGGGCATTATCGCACAGTAAGACAATATCGTCCGCATACTCAAGGTCGAGAAGTCTTTCTCCAGGCAACAGATCCACACCCCCATTACTTACATTCATCAGAGCTGTTTCCAGAATGTCATCGATGGCAAAGTTGAAGAGGAATGGTGAGATTGGGCAACCCTGCCTAACCCCACTGCTCGAATGGAACAATGGAGAGAGGTGGTTGTATGCCCTCACTCTGCCTGAGGTGTTTTTATATAGGGCTTTTAGGATGTTAATAAACTTCTCAGGCACACCCTTCTTCAATAGACAATGCCAGAGAACAGTCCTGTCCAACGAATCGAAGGCAGCCCTGATGTCAAGAAACACTACGATTGTTGGCCTTTGAAAAGTATGGCGGTGTTCTAACATTTGGCGGAGGGTGAAGATATGATCAATACATCCTCGACCAGAACGAAACCCAGCCTGCTCCTCGCGAGTCAATCTTTCTCGGGTTTTGAACAACCTACGAAGTATGACGGAAGCCAATAGCTTGGACGCAATCGGAAGTAGACTTATCCCCCGATAGTTGCTACAGGAACGACGTGAACCCTTTTTAAAGATAGGGACAACTATCGACTCATTCCATGACGTTGGTACACACTCTAGTTCCCAAACCTTTGTAAACAACGTCGTCAATTCCTTAGTCAAAAAGTCACCACCATCTTTAAAAAGAGCCGGAGGTAAGTCATCTGGGCCAGGTGATTTGTAACGCTTCAAGAGTTGGAGTTCCTTGCGGACTTCCGCCTCATTTGGTGGATCAGTCGTCACCGGCCATGGAGGGCAGGACAGTCTGACCGATGTTGCCGGAGCAGCAGGCCAGTTGAACTGCCCTTCGAAAAATTCTGCCCATCGTCCAAGACGTCGATGGATGTTAGTGATTGGCATCCCATCATCCTCGTAGATTTTTTCACTCACACACACTCACACCACGTGTTTCTGCTTGTAGGATTTAATACTCTTCTTCACTTGCTTGTTTGCTTCTGTGTACTCAGCTTTTGCCTTGACTTTCTCTGCTCGTGTTCGGCTGTCGTTAATTGTTGTCTTTCTATTCTTCCTTTCTTGAACCTTGTCCAGGGTTTCCATAGAGATTCATTCCTTATGATGATGCTTCTTGCGGCCCAGAACCTCCTGACACGTTGAAGTTAGTGCATCTTTGATACCTTTCCACTTGTCTTTCATAGTATTATTCTCTTCTTCGAGTGGATCTTGTAAGGCGTTGAACCTGTTGTTGAGATCTATATTGAATTCGTTGAATTTGTCAGTATGTCGAAGGAAGACTGTATTGAACCTTTGTAATGCTGTTTGTCCAGTTGTCCATTGCTTCGTTAGCTCAAGTTTCATCTTGGCAATCACCAGATAGATGGTGATCTGAAGCTATATCAGTTCCTCACCTGGTTCTCACGTCTCCCACTGACCTTATGAATTTCTTGCCGATGCAGATATAATCTATCTGGTTCTCCGTGGTGTAGTCCGGTGAGATCCATGTTGCTTTGTGTATGTGTTTGTGTGGGAATATTGTGCCGCCTTTAACCAATATGTTGAATGCACATATATTTGCAGATCTCTCACCATTCTCGTCCATGTCGTCCAATGATATCTTCATATCCGGTGTTGTCTATTCCGACTTTGGCGTTTAGATTTCCCATCAGAATGGTGAGACCCTTTCTTGGGTGTTTCGCTGTGTTTGATTGTAGCCTCTCATAAGATTTATCTTTATTGTTGTTGTTGCTATCATTGGTGGATGCAAAACTTTGGATAGCATTCATTGTGATTCCTCGATTTTTGTTTCGAATGATGCTTTGATGATAGTGGATCCGTGAGATTCCCATTCTATAAGTGCATTCGGTGCTTCTTCGGACAGCATCAGAGCAACTCCTTTAGTGTGTGGAACATTTTCTTCTGCGTCAAGCTGTGTTTTCTCATTTTTGCAGCTATTTGACTTGTGTTTCAGGTCTCCCACATTGTCCGGACGTTCCATGTACCTACAAAAATTGTTGCTCTGGTGGTTAGAAGGGGCATCGGCCTTGTGACATCCAAAGAATCTCGGCTTTCACCATAGGGCGTAATAATTCTTCTTTCACCTCCCAGGGCAGAGTTTAAATGACTTTATTTGTTTAATCTGGTTGGCGATTTTTTAGCAAGATTTTTTCCTACAGGATGGAGTTCCGACCTCATGCTCAACCCTCCTCCTTTATACGGGCTTGGGACCGACAGTAGTACTGGAAGAGCTACAGGCGCAGTTATATTATATGTATTTAAACTTGCTTCATTATTTATCCTATTTTCTTATCTTAATTATCTCTTATCTGTTTAAAAACTTTCAGGGTCGATGAATTGTGGATATAAAATTATTTACCAAGATTTTCTTCCACACAATGAAGTTTAATCAAACATCCGTGGATTCATCTTTGGGTAGTCTTTCTGTATCGTCCGCTGTCGATCGATCATATGACTCGTTCTTGAACAACGTGGATACACAACCGGGTGCATTACTTTCTGAACTTTTGTCAGATTGTACACCACTTGATTGCTTTGTTTCAAGCACTGTACAATCATCCAATATTCAAGATAATATATCTTTGTCACTTTATGGAGTATCATCATCTTCCAATAATAATAATGACAACATTAATAATAGCAGTAGTAATGGTAATAATAACATTACGAATACTATTGATGATATGAATGGAATTTATGGTCCAATAAATCCTAATTCACATGATTGCTATCGAAAAAATTCTACAATTGAATTAAAATCTGGTAATATATATGTTTTATAACCTTTTCAGTTAGTGTATGTTCTTAGTATAACTTCATATTGCATTTATCTCAGTTATATGATTTTTGTAGTATTGTTGATTTCTTATGAAAACTTCTGTTTTATTTCGAATTCGATTACTGTTTTAATTGATATTGTATTTCCTGTTATTCACAGGCTACCATAACATGTCTATCATTAGTTCTCTGTTCCCTGCTCATCCTAAAATGAGAGTTTGGCTTTATAAATGAAATTATTACGTTAGATTCCTGCAATATATTACATTAACTTGTTTAGTAATTCACTGGTACCATTAAAACGATATTCATTCTCTCACTAGGTATGAGTAGTTATCAAAAAGTTGTATTCTCAGCGGAGTACGGCTTTTCTTTTTGTTTTCAAGAGATATTAATACTTGACTGTGTTATCTTGGAAAATTCAGTTCTCAACACACAATTACGGTAACTTGGTTTCATGTCCATGCATCAGTCAGAACTTAAAACTTATAGGTAATTTTTCGGTAATAAGTTTGAATATTTTTAGTCATCAAAAATTACTTTCTCTGTACGAATATGTTGTTTTGGTTGTTTACTTATGAATTAATATAATTTAAGTGAATATTGATTAATGTCTTTTCCTCAACTGGTTGTTGTTTTCGTGAATTAAACTTTTGAAAACAAGGGATATTCGTAGGGTGTTAGTATCTGATCATAAATACCTTCTAAGCATTACTCACGTATGTTAGGACCATTACGTTAGCTATTCTGAAGTTGGATGCAGGGGACTAGTAAAAAATGTCGAATTAATTATTGTGATTGTGAATCTTCATCGACTGTGGTGATTGAGACATGTATTACATTTACCCAATCTCCGCCTGCCTGAACTCACGATATTTGTTGGTGTAGGGTTGGGTTAGACTGGTACAAAGTTATGAGCGGCCTAACCAAAACATATAGTCAATTTATGAAATCGTTGACCTTTGATCTGAGGCATGTTGGTAGATGCGTGATTACTGAAACCAATGATCAGAGACTTTAGGTGACATGCTTCAAAATCGTTCACAATGGCGCAGGTGCACTCACTCTTTGTCTTCCTTTCGAATTTGACTTTTAAAATTATATTATACACTTTATTCTTGGAATTCATTTTTTATTCTCGAATAATAGCATCTAGGTGTCTAATTTTTTACTACTACTGATACTGTTACTAATTCTACTACTCTTGGGTTCGTTTTGATATTATGTAACAACTCGAACCAATTGATATAAGTTCTAGGCTCTAGGTTGCTTATAACTAAATTAGTAATGATATCCATTCATTCAAATAACGAAATATCATGTCAACAACTTCGTAAATAAATCAACAATCTGAAACGACCAACACTCAGTTTACTTTAAGAAATGCAAGCGAATAATACTGAATTTAAAAAAATCCTTGATAAAGAACCTTCTAATCAATTTAGTTATCAATTTATTGTGGTGTACTTCATAAAATATAGAAAAAGGTCAATTCGTGCTTAGATCATTAAGTTTTAACATTTTATGTATATATTCTACACATTTTTAAACAAACCACTCGTAAGTTGTCTTTAATTCTCTTTTTTTTTTCTTGACCTTAATTGTATTATGGTTGTAATAATAATGTCTAGTTTTTCTTTAGTCTCGTCTCATTTTATAGGTCATCGTCTGTTTTATTTCATTCATTGTGCTGTTAACTTCTCACAAATTTCATATTGTGTTGGTAGTAGTATGGTATAATAATAATAATAATAATAATAATAATAATAATAATAAAGTAACCTAACATGCGTCATATATGTTTGTCTTATTTTGTCAAAGGTTAATACGCAAACATTAACCGGTCAAGGTTATTTACTATTACAAAAAAAGTCTTTTTTGTATATGTATATGTTCTTTTCTCGTTTCTGTTTTCATCATCATTAAAGTTGACTATCGTTCAACTAGAAAAAAAATAATCAACAATGTCCAGTTTTAATTGATTTATATTCAAAATTTCATCGTGAAAAATGTATGGATTTATTATTGATTTTTACAAAAATCAAGTATGGTGTAAATAATTTCAGTTCCTAATAACCTTATTTTAATAGTGCGTTAAAAAACAAAATAGTTAAGTAGGTGATGAGAAGCTATCATTAAACGGTTTCACGCATATATAATTTCTAAGTAATTGAGTTGAGTTGATTTGCTATTCATTGATGTGTGCACTTCTTTTCTAGGTACACTAGGGTCACTTGTATCATGGATCAAAGAAGTACACTGTGTTCTACGTAAAATTTGTTTAGTGTGTCTATGTGTCGTTGTTGAAATGAAAGCTTATTTCATCGAACTACTTTATAGTATCCATTGGATTACTCAGCTAAAATATTCGTCTTTTGCTCATCAGGCACTAGGCATTATGAAGAATACAAATGCAGTGAAGCATTATTTATTTCAATGCCAGTTGCCTCCAACATCTTTGAACCAGATGCATTGTTTAGTTATTAATTGTACCACTCAGCCACATAAAGCTTGGTTGGTGGATGCCGTTCCGATCCATGAATCATTGGTTTAAAGCCAAGAGGCTGCACTACAAACTAACAGCTTCCAATGGAAAACGGTCAAATATGCTTCAAACATCTATTGTTATATAGTTTTTAAGGTTCCAAAATATATAAGTAATATTCATCACAACTTACATTAAGTAAAACATGTTTGAAGACGAAGAAGTTTCATCATCAAATCACTTCGTGAGTATAATACCATTTGTTCACTGAACTGGAATTCAGCGGTCCATCTTTTTGACTTCAGTCAATAATGTATTATAATATGTTGAGCGTCTGTGCAACTCCAATTACGGAAATGGTTATTTTTTACAATACTGAAGGAATTTCTATTTGTAATTATTTTGGTCACTTTTAGTTAACATGCAGCCCAATATTTCGATTATTCAGTTTTGCGATCATTATTTTAGTGATTGGAAGAGTTGGTTTTCAACTGTTAGATTACATGCTCAAATTTCACTCCACGTATTTCGTTTTAATCAAAACTCCTCAAAAATAAAGTGTGACTTAGAACAAAGTAGATAAACATTCAGACAGAATGATTCGATGATGAACTTCTTTGACACTGGTTTCAAACTTTGATGAAATGCTAATTTCTTCACAGTACCCAAATACTCTATGTTAAGGAGTGCTAAAATGTATGAGGTCTTGATTTAGTTTTCTGTTATTTATTTCCAGGTATCTAACATTTGTAAACTCACAAATGACATGAGATTAAAAGTGTTAGGATTGTTGTTTACCTTGACATTCGCCATTAGTTATTAGCTGATTAGTAGTGTAAAGGCTTATCTTGGTTCACTTTGCAACAGGTATTAAGAAAATATTAATAAAACTATGGTCCACATTAACAGCACTCTTAAAGATCAAAAATTATCCTATGTTGTGTAGTGTTAATCTTTTATGCCTTTTAAATCAGCCATTGTGGTTTCACAAAATTAACTGATTCGTCATCATAAAGTATGACACACTCACATCGTATGCCTTCCCAATGAACTTAGTATTTACTTCATTATTGAGCCATAACTTGTTAGCTTGAACAACACTCAACTTTCTCAGGTTTTGGTTGCGTTTCGTTTCATATATACAAAATAGTATCGATATCCTAAATACAGTATAGCATAATTTACAGCTCGTGTAATGAATTCAGACATAATTACTGAATTAAGTTTCCTGTAAATTTGTTGTGTGGATTGGATAACTTCGTTTAAAATATTTTTCAATATATTTCCAAACATGTGACAGCTGACACTTTCCTTTATGCTTTTTAGATCCAGATATATCATCTAAATTTATTCAAGAACAGTCCAAAGATAGTGGTGTGCTGCCAGTGATGTCGAAACTTGATGATTCTATTAGAGGTAATGTATAACACTTTGTTCGCAGTAATTTTATAGATCATTCCTGTTAGTAAATAAATGAGTGAATTTCCCTGATTAGTATAGAGGGTTTTATCAAGATTAGAATTTTCAAGTGGAGTTTTGTTCTCTGAGCTGGATGAATTGGTCGTAGAGCTTTCAATGTTCTGAACAACATGATCGGCACAAACTTTAAGCAGAAGTAAAGTGTTCGAATTTCTCCACATATGACTCACAGTTTGTCCTGTCGACCTCAATCTTGATTGGTTACTATTGACTTTTAACCCGTCATTGTCTACTTTACTTTGATTGTATGTCCCATGATTTTTCTGATTGGCTGATAGGTCGGATCGATTTCAATGTGATTGTTGATTGAATTGAGTGCCAAGCTTCTAGAAATTCCTTGGTGTTCTTAGTGTTCCCTCTATTTAGGATCTCAACATTTTCCAGTCGAATGTATGTCCACAGTTGTCCATATGAATTGATATGAAAAGGGATGTGTCATTGCGTTTGACCACTAATTGAGGTTCGTGCAGGCAAAGATGACGGGGCTTAGCATTTTCATAAGTCAACTCATGAACTGATCTTAGTTAAACAACTATCGGATGCCAGTTCAGTGGTCTAGAGGTTAAGCGTTCGCGCTAGACCGAAGGTCGTGGTTGAAGACTCCCGAGGAGTCCCATGCTGGGACAAAACAGTAGTCCAGTGCTTCGTGGTATTCAGTTGTGGTCTAGCTAAGATCAGTTCGGTATTCAGATTACGACTATTGCATAATTATTGTTTGTATGCGACTTAATCGTTCACGACAATGTAATGAAACTACTAGTATTGAGTCGTTTTTCATAGTATTGGCAATATTTGTTGAATGAGGGATTTTTAGTTAGGCATAGAGTTTTGCTCAATAAACGTAAATCAGTTAGTAAGATAAGTAAAGCATATTAAATAGTGTTGTTTTCTGTGAGGTTGCTCTAAAAGAGCCAAAAGCAGTTCAAGTGTATGGAGTTTCTGGCTTTTCTAAACCATATTACTTGATAAAGCCCGCTACCCCTCATGAGGTCAAAGCTTCCTACTAGACATTCCCAACCAACTTTATCCGTAGCTCTTTTTACCACTTGCTACCAAGTGCTTTACCTGGCCTTGATATCTGTCTCATGTTCCCAACGCCATGTTACTCTTTCTTTTGCCTTGAGGATTCCAAGTTATGCCTTGCCTTGCGATGGAGTTCAATGGTTTTCGCAAAGTTTGTCATGTCTACCTCCAGCATATTTCCCTAATTTCGTCAGCTGGCATCTGGTTTGCTCAAGCCGTATTGAATAAGTATAAACTCTTCAGTTATTGTTTACAAAACCTTTTATTCCAGCGATTAGGATTTTCAGTTGACTTGGTTTGAAATCTGCCATTATATGACGGAGTATCCATCCTGTAGTTTTGGAAACATCCAACATTTTATTACCTACGTATTTTCGTTGCCTCTTTATTTGTATTCCTTTTTTACTCATACTAACTTAATGTGGAGAAATATCTTTTTCTCGAATAGCTCTATCAGTCAGTCAGTAACAACGTAGAACTTCGTACGTACGTACATCAGTTCGAGTTGCCACACCACATTAGCACAGAGATGCAGTTGTCGATTCAAATCCCGTAGTGGTAGAGGTAGTAAGAGTATAAGCAGTAATCGGGAAGATTAGGGTTTGGAGATGTTATTTAAAGAGTATAATCCAGTGAAATAAATTTGGAAAGAGAAAAAAGGGACATGAAGAATTCAGAAGATTAGAATTTGGGAGAACACAGAGAGTGGATGCACCTGCGCCATTGCAAACGATTTTGAGCCATGTCATTCAGGGTCTCTAACCATCGGTTGCTATCATCTCGCGGTCCCCAACCAGGTAGTCTACACCTACCAACATGACTCAGTCCACTTGTCAGTGACTTCATGGACTTGTGCCATGTTTTGGTTTGGCCGCCCCTAGCTTTCTTCCAACCTACTCCTATACCACTGAACATAGCACGTCGAGGCAGTCGGTCGTTGGGCATACGTAACACGTGTCCCAGCCATCTCAACTGATGAAGTTTCACTACGTCATCAATTGATTTGCCATCCTTACCTAGTACCCGTTTCCTAACAACTGCGTTACTTACTCGATGGTCCCATGATATACGAGCAATATTTCGAAGACACCTATGATCAAATACTAGTAACCTACGAATATCCTCTACTCTTACCGGCCATGTTTCACTGCCATAAAGTAGGACGGAACGAACTGCTGCGCAGTAAACCGTCCTTTGGTTGATAGACGGATATCTCGCCTACGCCATAAATGACGCAAGTTGGTATCCGTGCTGAGATTTCGTCACACACCAACCACAAGGGCTGATGAGACTTCCAAGATAAGTGAAGCGGTCGACACACTCAACTACTTCACTCCCTATCACTAGTTCGGGTGTCGATGTAACCCAATCCTGAAGCAACATTTTGCATTTCGAGGGAGAGAATCGCATCCCGAACATGCTTGCATTGTTGCTTAGAGTGGTCAGAAGACTCTGCATTTTGTCAGCGTCTTCACCAAATAAAACTATGTCATCAGCATATTCTAAGTCAACAAGTGAACCTCCCGGTAGAAGTTCAACCCCTGGAAATTTAGATGAGGAGAGTGTTATCTCTAAAAGTACGTCGACCACAAAGTTGAACAAGAATGGGGAGAGTGGACAGCCCTGACGAACACCACTTGAGGTAATCAATTCTGATGACAGTTCGCCATAAGCTCTCACTCTACCAGTTGTGTTCGAGTAGAGAGCCTTTATAAGGTTAATGTACTTCTTTGGTACTCCTTTCAGTGACAAACACTGCCATAGAACCTCACGATCAACAGAGTCGAATGCCGCCTTAAGGTCGAGAAATACTACCATTGTGGGGCGTCTGAATGTGTGTCTGTGTTCTAGAACCTGACGTAGTGTGAATATCTGATCTATACAACCACGTCCAGGTCGAAAACCAGCCTGGTTTTCTCTAATCTGCTCTTCACGAGCTTTGTTAGGCGTCGAAGTATTATTGAAGCTAATATTTTAGACACTATATTAGTCAAACTGATTCCTCTGTGATTGTCACAAGAGGACTTTTGTCCTTTCTTATAGACTGGCACAATCAGTGATTGAGACCAGTCAGATGGGATTACGTCCAGTTCCCAAATTCTACCTAAGACCTCAGTTAATCTCATTGCTAATACTGGACCACCATCCTTAAAAATCTCAGGAGTAAACCTGTCAGGGCCTGCTGCTCTCCCTCGTTTCAGATTTCCTATGGCTTTTTCAACTTCGTAAAGAGACGGAGGACCTACATTAACTTGCCATTCAGGTTGACTGGAGATCGTGGGAAACCGAAGTGTGGCTGAAGGCCAGTTGAACTGATCCCTAAAGTGTTCTGCCCATCGATCCAATCTCCTGGATTGAGAATGAATAATATGTCCATCTTTCTCTGAGATTGTTTCGCTAACGGTCGGGTTCCTAATTCCGGTTTCCTTAACGAGTCTGAACAATTGTCTGCTATTACCTATTGCCGCTGCCTTTTCCATCTCTCTTGCTTTCGCTACCCACCACTGTTCGCGATCATTGCGTAGACTTCTTGTCAGCTTGCGCTTAAGCTGACTCCGCTCTTCATTATGTTCAGAGCCAGGTGGAATGAGTTTCCGAGCATCTATCAGTGCGATAGATGCTGCTGAGATCCAGTGTTGCTCCCTAACCTTCTGGTTTACCTTACTAGCAGATATCACTGCTGTTTCCACAGCTTTTCGGATATCATTCCATGCTGCATCGGGGTGGGCATCACATACATGGCTGCCTAACTGTTTTCCTAGTTGTTCCTGAAATATACTCTTAGCTTGACTATCATTAAGTAGGCCCTAAGAGGTTTCCTTGCAGCGTCTTTCCTACGTCCAGTAAGACGCAAGCAAATACGCGCTCGCACTAGAGCATGATCTGAATCTAGGCATGTGCTCCAGAATGAGCGACAGTCTTCTATCGAGCCCCTCCATCGGTGGCTGATAGCGATGTGATCTGTTTGTCATTTTGATGATCACCAGAAACAGACAGCTCGATACTAGAGCTGGCCATCGATTCTTTTTAGTGATATAATTCATTTTCCAGGTACAGATTCGTGTGCTTGACTAAGAGGCACAATCTAAACGTGAAGGCTATTGATACCATTCGGTAGGTGGGGCGTTTTTCAAACTTGTGGTTTGGTGGCTGAAGGTTCATCCACCTGATCAATCACTCATCGTTTTAATAATGTATGAGCTGCACCATCGGTCATCCAATCTTTACTTTATATTTTTACAAAATTTCCCATTACTAGTTTAATGTTCTACCTGTATAACACTTCTTGTATGGGTAATTTTCAGTACAGTTTGCGTTATAGATCGCCGTTATCACTTTAAGAATTGATTGATTGGAAATTAGGCGATTTCACTTTATCCATTTAAATATCGATTCGTCCAATAAACACTGTCTTAATCAGATATTAAAAGAAACAAATTCTTATAAATCAAATCCAAATGGACCGTTAGTTTTTGTTCAGTTCATATGTGATTATCTATCTAATACTGAACTATTTTCAGCATTCAATAAATCAATGCCATATTCATCCTTTTGACCGTAACACTGCCTTAAATTTTTAAAAATATTTAATAAAATTCAAAACAAGGGGATTTGTCAATTGATTGGAGAACTCAGTATTATATGTATGTACGGTGTTGTTTTTGTTTACATTTAACGAAATCTTTATTCAATTGATTTATATATATATATATATATATATATATATATATATATATATATATATATATATATATATGACTATTGACCAATAGGAGTTGCTTTGAATGGTCATATTCTCTATTGAATCAGTTGGCCATTCTATATATATATATATATCTATATTTGTAAATAATGATTATCGGTCTGATCTAGGAATTGTTGATGATAAGAGAAATAACGAGCGGTTAGATTAT